ATCGGTTATGTACCTTCCAATGTTTTTCTAATAGCTATATATATCACTATACGTGTAATATTCAGCTGAAGAGGCCCACCAGAATTCGATGAATTCATTCAATCCTGCTTTACTAACGACATTTATTGCTTGTTTTATCCAGGAGCTTCGTGCTTAATGAGGACTATGTATACTAGTTTTCAGTGAAATATTTTTGAATTCCATGCAGTTCATCAAACGAAAGTTTATGAAGGAAGCGATGTTTAGCCAACATTGATGCCGAGATGTTTGTGCCATCTTAGACTTGACTTTACATGCATAAAAATGTCTCTAAATTATTGAGTGGTTATCTAACTACATGAAGTCTTCAAGCCCTTCTACCCAGGAATAAATATAAACGGTGTTTGAAGTAAAAACAACGATAAAAATTTCTTTAAGCGTAAAAAACTCCTTTTTTAAGCACAGTGGCATATTCAATGGAATTTTAAACTTATACTGCAAAATTGCAAACAGTTATCCATAAATTTACTTGATTAAAAAACATGTTATCTTGTTTTCTACAAAACCAACACTAATTATTGTATTCAATTAGAAATATGGAAGACTTCGCTATTGCCACAATATCAGTCGGAGACTTTTGACGAGTGTTTCAAGCAGATGCCAGCATTTAGGAAATGAAATCAACTTAAACTATATTTAGAGCTGATTAACTTGAGAAGACCAACCTATTTTGGTCACACTTGAAGGGATACCATATATTTAAATATCACTGCATCTCTGTTTTCTTCCGGGCATGGTGTTGAGGGTATATATGCAGATTTCTGCAATGACCTCGATGATGAGTAGTCTATAAAACATGTGCTTGACTTATAAAGGGTGTCTGTTGATCTTAACTCTCATGGGTGTGTATAATGATGTTTAATTCAAGCTGATGTAAGAAAGCTTGTGCTAAAATAGACGTTTTTTAGCCGTCTAAATTATCATTTTTTGATATTCAAGATTATATGACTGACTGAATTTCAGCGTAGAACTTTGCATAGAATTTTAACAGGTCAAATTGCTACACTCAGTATACCAAATACGGGTAGAGAAAGGACAGAAAAGGGAAATTCGTAAAAAATGCAATGAGCAGAAATCTACGCCTGATAGAATAGTTACATGGAAATAACATGATGGTTTAGTGAATATGGGTAATTACAAAGAGTGAATACACTTGCGCCATCACGAACGATTTTGAGCCAAATCAACGATAGTCTCCAGTCACTAGTTTTTAACATTCCAAGGACTTCAAACAGGCATTCCTCCTTTCCCTAAGTTGCTCAAATCAAAGACTCCATATATATAAGTTCCATGTTTTAGTTTGAGCACCCCTAACTCTTTTCCAATCTAATCCCTGTCAGATAACATTACTCATTTAGACAACCTTGGAAAGAGTAGATTGGCAGACTACTGTCGGTTTAATGAGTGACAATTTAAGATGGAATGAAATTCTATGGAGCAGAAGGGTCTGAAAGAAGGCTTTGACGCTCAATCAGCTCAGTTATTAAACTTCACTGCTAACCAGGTAATCGTTTTACCTTAATCTCCACGAGTATTAGCTAGCTGTCTTGTTAATAACTGACATATAACTGTAAAACCATCATTGTCATCCTTGTTGTTTAGCGTAGAACATATAGTTAGGAGGCCACCTTCAAAAAACACCAATCAACACATCATTCTTTAAATCTAATGTGTATCCTATTAACATTAGATTGAATTCTTTCATGAATTTTTACATTTAAAAAAAATCATTTTTCTAAATTTTGAGAGAATTTTATTCTTATCTTCTACTGAAATGATAAACATTTCATCCATACAAGTTTTAATCTGTATACTCCATCATTTTGATATATTCCCATGTCCAATAGGCAGGTGTAAGTGAAGTATACATTTTCCTACAAAAGTGTTTCTCCATATCATTACAGAAAGTTAACATGGTCTCAAAAGAATTTGACTGAAATCCATTCAATCCATACAATTATTAGCTGTAGTGTAGAGATTGTATTGTGGATAAGAGTTTCTATTTTGATAAATCACACAGCATTGTACCGTAATATTTACTGATAACCACCTTTTGAGCAAAATTTACTGCTGCTCATAACCATATCAAGGCACTGCTCGAACAACTTTCTTGCTTCATTTATATACATGAGTACAAATTGATTAAACATTTGAATAAAAATCAGTGTAAGATATAGTACATTCGGAAATGATATTAGTGCTATCAATAAAATACAATCAGATGGGAAATAAGATGTTTTTTACAGTAAAAATAAGTAACTTCTTAGAATGTTATGATGTACGTGATTTGAAATAGAATTTTAACATTATTTATTATCCTCTGATTTGACTGGTGGTAATAATATCTTCCATATCTCTGGTATTTGCGTTGAGTCACTTCTATTGCTTATTCACATTCTCTCTTTTTCTGTGTGTGTTTAATAGATACAGGTGTGTTCAATATTTAAAGTATTTGATTTTGATATATTAAACAGAAATTATTTTGGAAATATACGGAAGGGACATTCAACTAACACCACACATACGGTAAACAGCTTAGTGGAACACGAATGGGATGTGACGAGTTGGGCGTCAGAATGGGACGCAAACAATGAAAGATGGTGGACAGTCATGGATCCAGATGAAATTGAAGTCAGAGAATAAATTGTGATGGGAATGTGCTGCTGAGGCGCTATGTTGCACTTGGAATACAAGAGACGAATAATAGTAGTAATTGTAGCGACCAAAACCTGCTCATTGTGGTCTGAAAGCAGGAAACCGATCTCTACGTCCCACAATGTAGCTCTAAAATCTCCTATTAGACACGAGGAACAGCGAAACACTCCAAAGACAGGAAAAGATGGTTGTTCTGGAATGATTTTGTGGTTTGACTAAACAATAATAATATCGATAACTTGAAATGCCTTAACAGTGGCGTCTGGCAGATATCTATTCCAGTTTAGGTGAAAAATGATTACTTGGAATCAAGTAGAATATTCCCAACAAGGTGGGATCAAAAATTCTATCCACAAGAATCACACACCAACGCTTTCCACAAATAGTAAAAAGTAAGAAGTGACCTTCATTACCCAAACAAACAATAAGGATCAAGTCGACCGATGAAATGCAAATGTCAGAACAGCGATAAAGAGTCTAGAATAAAAATGGACAATAATTACAAAGTTAGCTGAAACGTCCAATTAAGTAGAAATATTATGATTAGATCGTCTAGCAGGGATTTTCCGTTACCATAGTAACAGTGGTTGAGAAGGATATACTATTGAATAAATGGTACAATGGATTCATAAACATGTCAACATTTTCACTGATTTAGCTTTAGTTTTGTCATCTATCGGTGAAGATATCTTCAGTTTTTCCAGTCAATATCTTGTTTGACAAATGTTAAATTGTCTATACCTCCTGATAATGTTGCCTTTCAGGTTACAGTAAGTAATACATGCATTTCTTTCCGATTATTTTTGAAAGCTGACTACTTTGAACAGCCATCAGAAGTTGTAAGACAAGATTACCCATGATCTTCATGATTCATGAGACCGACCGTGATATATGGGGAGATGGACATACTTTGGAATGACCCAGAGACTGTAGAAGAACTGGGTTTTCTGGATGAATTGTATCTGTTTTCTAGTTAAAACAAAGAAACACGAGTGAAAATGAACAAGTTTGGCAGGATGATAGGTAAAACCAAGACTTCATTTGGGCATAGAGAAGATATAAATGGTGAACGTAATCGACCAACAACAGCAATAATCAATTACTAACAGATGGAGAAGTCTACATAGAATTCGCTTCTTCCACTTGCCTGGACAAGGTTTCAACTACAGATGGCACAATGACGATGTCAAAGCAAGAAGGATCGCGAAACCAAGACAAGCTTTTATCCCTCTGAAGTTAGTGTGGAAAACTACAGAATTTTCCAATAAGATTCAAATTCTAAACACTAATTTCATGTCAGTCCTTTAATATCCTTCAAAGACTTGACCTGTGTGCCACACATGCATTTTAAACACTCTACTGTGGAGATTCATTACCTGAAGATCAGACGGATCGCAAAAACGATGAGCAACTAGGAACTCTAGCTGCGAATCAACTAAGAATCTATTTAGTAATAAATATTTGTCCAGACGACTTTCAAGTGACATCATACACATGAATGGGGGGACGAGTGACGGGTTGGATGTCCGAGTGCGACAATGAAAAGGATCATGTGAACAGGAAATGAAGGTCTATAGGCATTCATGGAGCAAAGCGAAGGTGACTTTATAGATTTTTTATTAATTTTTAAAAATTTCTTCTATTCTGTCCTATCATGTATTTTCAGAAGTTTCATCATGATGTAACGCTTTACACATCAACTTATTATTTTAGGAGGAGGTATGTTGAATAAGACTTTTTTAACCATTCATCAATAATCCTCATCAAAGCATTTATGAAAAAAACTAAACAAGTAGTTAAACGTAATTTTTCATGAAAGTGAAATCCAAGTTCACCTAATGTTTCTATTTTAGCATGAATAAATCAAAATTAATTAAACTTGTGTTTAAGTTCAGTCCGAATCTAGCTGCAGAAAGGTTTTGGTCAATCGTTCATATAGTTTCCATATAGACACACTACTACTACTACCTTTGTTGGTTATTTTCATTACAGAGACTAAAACATTTGCATATGTTGTATCAGCTTGATTAAACTGAATTGGCAGAAGGTGGAATTCATGCACTGGCCATTGAATCGTGGCCCAGTGTGATTTAATGGTCTATAAGCTCTCTTTGTAACCAAAAGGTCCTGGGTTCAAACCCTTGCGGTGGGTGCGTACTGATGAACAGTTCCAAACTAGGACGAAACTGCTGTCCAGTATTCCCTACAAGTTTTCCAATGGTTCTCTAACCGATATCAGCTCATGATGAAATCCTGTAGCCAATCAATCAAATCCCTACAAATCAATACTTGTAAGAATATTGTAAATGCAAGATGGTTTCATACGGTTAGATAATAAAACAGGTAATATGGAAGATCTGTTGCTCACATCGGAATAGGTGATTAAACTCTCTTGAACAGCTGTAGCGAACTCAACGTGAATATAAAATAGGTAATCTTTTCTTGTGGACCAATGTGTAATTAGCTAGTATTACGACAAAGGTAGATGTTGTATGCAACGTATTCACATCTCATATTTTGAACTGTCTTATATCAAGAGGTATCTTACATTTCAGTCGATCTGAAATCACTTGAAAAGTTCAAATTAATGAGTTTCTTCTTACACATTTTATCTATGTTTTATTTACACAATTTCTTTTATCTGCTTATGATCTAAATTTAGGTTTTGGTAAATTTATTTGATATTTAAATCAAATTTACATAAAAAAATTTAAATTGATTTTGTTTTTGATGTGGTTTTACGTTCTGGGCAGGGTGGTTTTAGTGCTAAAAGTCTGGTGATTCGATCACCCTTTATTGGACAGATATTTTGACGTATAGCTATTTACGTACATAACTATTCCGTTAGGATATGAGTGGAATGAGGGGCTCCCGCAGCACATCTGGCTTTCATTCTGTTCTCTAATGTTACATTTTAGCTGGTTCCATGATTTTCTTCAAGTTTTCGTTTCCTTTTCACATGATCTCCTCAAATTACCGTTTCCCCCTCGGGTTTCACTTGAGGGTCTGACAAGTAATATCTCAAGGATGTCTTCACAGAGTATGAAAAGTCAAGCTCCGTTTCCTTCTGCATATGTTTAAGGTGATAGGTTTTTGATCCGTTCTTTACCAGTGTTCTTCCTAATAGCTTATCTTTTCCAGCCAATCATCTGACTATCAGTATGAACCGAGAGGAGCTGTTGACGCAATTGTGCATTGGCCTGTTTGAAATGCAATAAGTCTTTGAACCATATAGAAGCACTGATTTACGATTAGTGTTAAGGATCCAGATCCTGTTCTTTGTGCTGTGTGCGGCAGATTTCCACATTGAATGCAGATTAGTGAATGGATGTTTTGCTTTAGCATCCTCATGTGTTCTGCCTACAGTTGCAACATTGATATCAAGATAAAAGAAAGAGAGGTTCCTTCAGACTTCTTCCACTGATGGTGACCGATGCTTTTTGTTAGTGAGACACGTTTATCATCGCTGACATTTTGATGTGGATCAAATTCGTTAATCAATAAAAAATAACTCACATGGCAAATAAAAACAAAAAGATCGAATTCCAGGTAAATGAAAAGATGGATAACAGAAAACTTTTTCAAGAGAAAAATAAAACTTCTGATGGAAACAGCTCATACGCACAGTCATCAAAAGGGACAATAACATCATTCAGGACGAATTCGAAAACACAAAATCACTTCCCACTTCAGTCATCTCTGATGATGTTGTTTTCTGGAAGGATAGTAAAGGCTGCACAGTTAACTTACTTTGCTCAAGGAACCCGACCGCATTAACAGCATTCACCCAAGCTACAAATATTCTCCCTTATTTCAAAGATATCGAGCTTGTTCTGAAACAGTCATATAATTAATTCTCTACCTTGAATACATTCATAGTTATTCTGTTTCTCATAATTTTTTAGTCATTTCAAACTCACATTGACAATAATAATCAGTTCAGTACAGCGACTGATAAATGTATAGTGATGAAAATTTCAGTTGGCATTTTATGCTTTCAATGCACTCAGTTTTTTCAGATGCTCATACAAATGCATATGTCCCGTTCACTTAAGAAAACCTCCTTCGCAGATGAACTACGATTAACCTTCTCCACGGAACCTATGATTCGTAAGAACGTGAAGGATAAGCTACCGCTACTGGCCTCATCAATGTGTATCTACCAATCTACCTGCTCGTGTGGAGCCAGGTATGTCGGCTGTACCCAGCGTTCGCTTTCCAAACGTATCACCGAACACTCTTCCAGCATGGGTTTACAAAGGAGAAAAACGATGCCCCCGTAGCTCTATCTTAGAACATCTGATAGATTCCGGACACGAAGCTTCACTCCAAACAAACTTCAAAGTCGTCTACAGAATACGAAGCAGTCTTCCTAAAAGTGAACGAATCAAAATTCTCCAAACTGAAGAAGCAATGGCAATTCACTTGCTAAGTCCCAAACTCTGCATACAGAAGAAGTTTGTTCAATCACTACACTTGCAAATATATATTTATAAACTTCTTCACGACTCCATACCGCATTTTTCAATCACAACAGATTTGAATGATCATAGATAGTTGTTGCTTTTAACTCCTATTAAATATGGGTTATTCTTAATTAAGTGTGGTTCACGCTGTGGGCTATAGTTTCAAAGTCTTTCAAAATTATCTTCATATTACATTTTCTTCGTAAATCAGAAGGTGGTAAGTGTTTTCCTCGTAATTTCTAACTGAGAATTTATCGTTTGTAATTAATTCCCAGTCGCAGAAGAGGTCTTCTTTAAAATCCCATCTGCCACAGTCCTAAACCCTGGCTAGTTAACTGGCCAGTGGTAATTCCAGAAAAGAAAGAAGACTGAGCCCCAAGCTCGTAATCCCACCTCATTAATAAAAAACCATTGCTGATAATGAACTTTAAAATCCAAGGGTCTATGTTCATTAAGCGCATTTATCATAGCTTGTTCATCTTCCAAAGCCCTGAGAGTGGATTTTAAGGCCATGTTGACACATCTTTATTCCATCAAAGTCTTCGCGATCAGTTTCAGTGCTCACCAAAACTGCTCAATGGCCTATATGTCTCTTAACATGATTGCCTTCATGTCACCCTTGAATACTCAACCGGTCAATCATTTCTCATTCACGTTCCGCTCGAGTGCCTGAGAGGTGGGTGGTGCCATTCGGATGTCTCCTAAGTGTATGTTCAACACATCACCATTTCTTCTCCATATTTGGTGCGTAATAGGTTCTTATGTGATTCGCTGCCCGCTAGAGTTCCTTGTTACTTTTTGACATCAGAACTCCAGAAATGGAGATATAGCAACCGTTGATAAAAGTCTGCGGTAACCAGTTAAAAATGCCTTCAGTGATTCGCCTTACAAGTTTTTGAAGCATACAGAAGCACTAACTTGACATTAATGTTCAGGATTCAGGTCTTGTTGCACTCATATAGTCAGCATATATTAGCCTTGATAGTTTTACTAATTAAAATAGGTAGGATTTTTGAACATGACGCTGCTCTCGTGACTAACTAGTCGCCAACATTGTGGCTATTTACTAATACTAACAATCACTTAGTTTTATAATGATTTAACTGACTAGTATAGTGTTTTTAGGGGAATAAGAGATTCAAGTTTGTTTGTTCTCTGATCAGGTGGATGACTGAATTTTGACGCTTTATTATCCCACTGTACATCGTTTCCAGTGGTCATTTCAAAATTATTCATTTGAAACACAAAATCTCTCCACTACTGGTTACTCATTCACACAATCATCTGTATGGATGTTGTAGGTTGAGTGAAAAAACAAATTTCTGCTTTATGAAGCTGTAAAGAAGTCATCGTGTTTACATCAAGAAAAATGATGTCTGAAAAAGTTTGATGATGTAATCAATTTAAAAGTTTCTGAGTTCGTTTTATAAATATAATGAATGCCATAAAATTTACTGCAGTTTCCTTTCATTATGCACTGAATACTTGTACGCTTCTGTTTTATAAACATCGTCTAGGCGAAGAAACTTATAGAAAAAGTTAGTTTTCATACTGGTCTTATATTTGTACAAACATCTAAACTGTGCAATTTAAAATGATCTCTTGATAACTGTTTTATGAAAGTGGCAACAAAATTTCCTGTTTTAAACTAAATAACATGTGTTTAATCCAAGAATACTTAGTGAATTTAACAAATTTCGGTGGAACTATTCATCTGGACAAGAACAACAACAACAGACAACAATCAGCATAAATGGGAGGAACCTGAAAGAAACAACCTCTTTCACCTACCTAGGAAGCATCGTCTCAACTACAGGCGGATGGAACTGACGAGGATATCAAAGCAAGAATCGGAAAAGCAAGACAAGCTTTCACTACTCTCAAGTCTGTGTGGAGGTTAACAGCACTCAGCATCAAAAATAAGATCCGGATTTTCAACTCCAATGTGAAGTCAGTGCTACTTGCTATACGGATAAGAGACTTGGACTGCTCGTCATAAAGAGCATCTCAAACAAACTACAGACCTTCATTAATAGTTGTCTTCGCTCAATACTCAAAATCAGATGGCCGGTCAGAAAAGATCAGCAACAGAGATCTCTGGCGATGAGCGAACCAACCAGGAACCGATTGTGAAAGAAATAGGCAGGAAGAAATGGAGATGGATTGGCTGGCCATACTCTGAGGAATAGACATCACTAGACAAGCCATCGCTCGAGTGGAACATAAAAGGGAAGCGGCGAGTTGGTCGTCAGTGTGAGGGTGACTTGGAGGAGGTCATGTGAAGAGGAAATGAAGGCGTGTGGGCAGACTTGGAGCCAGGTGAAGACTCTAGCAGAGAACCGAACGCAATGGAGACGCACGGCTGAAGCCCTATGTTCCTCTAGGAATTAAAGGAGACAATAATAATAATAATAGAGTGACACACATACATTCAGAGATATACGGCTGGTATGTAGATAAACTATAATAAATCAATCCTGCGAGATGAAAGATGTGAATGTTTTACAAGTTATTTTCGAACAAATAAGGAGGGATATGGTATAAGGGATTAAGAGCAGAGATAACTGATTATGCTGCGGTTACAATTCAGTGTGAAATGAATACCTCGAAGAATATTTTGTATTCGAGAATGAATATTCTAAGAGGTTTATCATTTAATATTTCTTAGAAATAAAGCCCGTAAAACAATGGAAACTGCTTAAAAGACGGCTGTATACATATATCTGTGTGTTATTTAAAGGAGATGATGTACAAGAGGTAGTTCAACAAAGGGTTGACAAAGCTGTAAATACATGGAACAAACATGGGCAGGTGATGGAATACTTGCCCAAGTGGTTGAAAAAAAGCTGAAATTAAAGTATCAAAAGTTTTAATAACAAAACATTTTATAGACTACGACTGTGTCAGTTCACCTAGTATTGCCAACAAAAAAGAAGTATAAAGATGATTGCAATTACGGAGACTTGTACAGTTGGAGTTTATAAACCAGGTCTCTTTGTGAAGAAGGAAATGGTGGTCACTGCAAATCTGCTAATGGTCATATCTTCCACCCAGTAACTATTACAATTATTAAGATTTCACTCCATCTCTTATTATTATTCTTGATTTGTTTAAAACTATCTTTCGTCAGTACTATTGTCTTAACTCGTTTCATTATCATTATTATTATTATCATTCAGATTGAAATTTCTGATATTTTCAGGTTCTTTCTTTGATAATTAACTGTTTGTTTAAGTGATTTAATTGAGCCATAATCCACTATCCTCCTAAATTTAACTCTGTCATACCAATTACCAAATCGGCTATCTAAACCTGATCTGTAAGACATTTATGCCTTTCATTCATCACGACAGATTCGCCGTAGATCACTTATCAATCACATCTCTCGCAATGTATTCCTAATAGTCTACACAAATCACGATATATACAGTATTCAGCGGCTCAGGTATTCTACGAAAATTTGATGAATTCATTGAATTATTCCTACGGCCGGTTCCATTTATTAGTTTGAATAAAGAAAGAACGAACATATTTACAATATGAGCTCGTTTAATTTCGTGGATTCTCCTCAACTGCTGCGTACATCTTTAATAAATCAATTATATGTTACAAAATAGTGTCTGAACATACTTTTTACAATGATTTCAAGTTGTGGGTAGGAAGTATAAGCCTCTACAATGATATATGCATGTTTATATACACAGAATATTCTAGAGTAGTAGTCAATAACAATATTGGTGTTTTTTAAATAATAATAAGTAACCAGAAAGTCCTGGGTTCGAATCCCGGTGGATGCGTACTGATGAAGAGTCCCAAACTAGGACGAAACAGTTGTCCAGTACTTCAGGTTTTCCAATGGTTCTCTAACTAATGTTACCTCATGATGAAATCCTTTAACGAATCGATATTATTTAAAAAACACCAATATTGTTATTGACTACTACTCTAGAATATTCTATGTATATAAACATGCATATATCATTGTAGAGGCTTATACTTCCTATCTACAACTTGAAATCATTGTAAAAAGTATGTTCAGACACTATTTTGTAACATATAATTGATTTATTTAGGATGTACGCAGCAGTTGAGGAGAATCCACGAAATTAAACGAGCTCGCCTAATCCTGACTGCAAATACGTACGTCCTTCATTAAAATCTGTTTTAAAGTCGTATAGGGAAATGAATGTTTGCAAAAGTGCCATTCTTCAAACATAACTCGCTGTGAATTTTCTAGCTAAATGAAAAGAAATGTGTGCATTTTAAATAATAAAATAATCATCTATCATCTGCCATATACACTTAGTACTCATAAAGACGTTACAGTGTAAGTTGTAAAGTTTTATTCTCCGGAATACTGTACATACTTTTATTCAGAGTGTGATGGTGTGATACAGGCAATAGGTTCCAACGGAATATTATTCTCACAGTGAGAATCATTGTATTTGTTAGTGTTGTCGTCTGAATACTATTCCCACAGTTCAATACTGCATAAACGACAAAACACTATATATGTATTTGAACATTCTGTTTCATGTCGTTTAATGTTTAACCGAAATCACACGCTCGCTCAGTGATTGGTTAAAGAATAAAAACATTATGGATATAAATAGCGGTTTGATCACTTGAAAATATACGTTTGCTTCCGTGTCTTGACTTCTCCTGTAACAATAGTACTAACTGTGTGTACTGCATACACTGGATACAACGTTTTTCCACATGTGGAGTGTGGATAGAACTTTGTCTAAATGGAGTAAAAGGAAGGTACTTTTAGATTTTTCTGTTGGAATTGATGACTATCGGATTTACTTCTCTGCATGGTGATATGAACCATCAGAAGTATAAGGGATGCAAAACATGTTGGTGTGAGATAATGCGTTAGCTCACCTGCTGTACTATGCATAATTAAAAAACCAGATTATTATTTTTTCTACTCTGCCAGATGAATGTTGTCTTTTTCGGCATAGTTCCTCGTAGCTGAATCAACAGTGAATAGCCAAAGGTCGTGCTAATTCAACACGTAAAGGATACAACTGAGCATTGATAAAGCTGAAACAGAACATTCTAAGACTTTATGTATGACTACGAACTGACTGACATCAGTTAAAAAGAACCATTGAAAATCAGCAGAGAATACTGGACAGCTGTTTCATTCTAGTTTGCGACTTTTCAGTTGTATACACCTACGACCAAACCAGGGATTGAATCAAGCACCTTCAGCTTAGAAGGTGAACTCGTTAAAACAGTGATCCACTGGGACAGAGTCCAAGAGCCAATGAATTTTAACTTGTAAGATTTTATGGAATATATCTACAATGCTTGTAAAAATTTATAATTTAGAATAAACTCTTTTATATTTAGGTCAAAATAAACGTAAGTTTATAATAAGTATGAAATCTTTTCTCTTAAACTATTTTCTGGACAAGAATACATTAATTTATATTGTACAATAATTTGACAATTCAGGTTCCTTTGTTACGTTTGTCCTTGATGTCAAAGCAAACAATTAATTTATCCGAAACTCAGAAAAAGCTTTATAAAAAAGGGTAAATTAGTGTTGATTATTTGTTTGGAATTTGTATGACAGATCATGACGAAGATAAACACACTGAACCATTCAGCAACTTCCACATTCAAACTCGGGAACTCCTCTGAAGGTACATTGTACCACGAATGAGTAGTTTATTTGGTTTTTTGATCATTTAACGCTTGTTTAGTATTTGACTTTCTCTAGAACATGCTACAGTGATGGAATCATTCAAAGATGTAACACTGACGTTGACTGGTACAGTTACTTCAAGTTTGTAGTTATTGAAAGCCTTATAGTATTAAGTAGTAAATTTGTAAATTCTATTAACTCGTTAAAAATCAATAATTTTGAAAACATTTTTCACTTAAACAAAATATTTGGAAAGTCACTTTCACATAGTTCCCCGAATACACTGAAGAAGCATTTATCAAGATGTCATCAGCAACACTGATAACTTTTATACACTAGAACCACTGTACCCCAGCGAAATGAAAGATTAATTCAACTCACAAAGGAGGTAGAATTATCCAGTGCTACTCTCCAACAAAAAACTCAGACCGCGAGAAGGAAGTATTTAATTGGTGGATGGTGACTAGTAGTGGAATTCAGGATGTAGATTCATCTCATTATCTAGTGAGGTGAACTCTCAGGGTCAAATTGAAAGCCTTCAAAACAACTGGAGACAGACCACAAATCATGTTCAACATTCGGAAACCGAAGGATGAAACCACGAAGGATATCTTTACTTCAGTCCTTAGAGCAGATTAGACGACATTGCTTAGCATCACTGAGAAAGCCTGCGTGGAAGAATACTGGAAGTTTCTGAGAGTGATGTTGAGGGAAACCTGTATAGCTGTCTTAAGGTAGAAGAACAGGCAAGACAAAGAATCGCTTTCTAATGAAGCTAACAGAAGAGGGAGATGAAACAGAAGATGAACTAAATAGAGGAGAACAATAAAAGTAATAGCTTAGTTCAGTCTATAGCGCAATGAACAAAGAAACAAACAAGAGTACTGGGACAGACAAATGATGCTTTTACAAGATACTGCCAACTGAAGCAGAATAGGTCACAGGTAAAACAGACCTCACAACAAAAAATCAGATGACCAGGCCGGTATCCGAAAAGGGATCAACGCAAAACATACCGTCCAAAAAATGCTATAGAACTACCGGTGACCACCAACTCTTCGACAAAAGCAGTAGTGTTGAATACCGATTAAAAAAGCATGAGACCTATATGGAATTCCTCGGGAAGCACTGTAAACGGATACCCTCACGCCACTATTGCAGAAGGTTTTCGAGGAAGAAAAGGCAACTACCGTTTAGAAGAAGAGCTTTCTCATCAAACTTAAGTGATTGATTAGCTACGTGTAAGTAATTGTATTTATTAGAATTAACCTTCAGTAAAGGTGAATTTTTCATTTGAAATTGACAAGTGATAAAGTGTCACTTTAACGCTTAAACAATTTTTCTTTAAATCTATAGCGCCAAATGGAGAAGGTATGTGACTACATTCTGATGACAGTAACTTCACTTGATGTGATGCACTTATGGCACGTAGTTTATTGATAGTAGGAATTCAGAAGTATAAAGGGTCTCGTTCTTCGTTAAAAATATCACTACTAATTTCAAAAACACTTTCACATGATAAATGAATGGAGTTCATCATATATAAACATAACAACGGAATCAGCGCTTAAGCACTTTAATTAAGTTGAAATGATACCGTCACCGTTTAACTACCAATGAAGAAAGATGCTTCCTTTTAGTAGTTCGCCAACAGAATTGAGATATCAACGAACTTATTTTCAGCGCTAATCTGGGTTGTAAATTTGTTGATTTAATATTAGTCCCTCTTTGAGTTCCAAGCTCCGACAGCTAATCTCCACAGTACTTTGTTCTGTACCGTCATTTTCAGCTACCTCCAAGTCTGCTCAACAACTTTCATTTATTCTTCACATAATCTCTTCCATGTCAATCTTGGACGTCCAACGAGTCACTCAGTTTCCGTTTCTGTTGCATTCAAGTGTATGCCAGGTGTACAATGCAACTAGGAGGTCTTCTTAGAGTGCATTCAATCCTTTTTCATTTCTTTCTGCGTATGTATTGGGTAATATGTTCTTGTCTGTGTTATGTGTGTCAGAGTTATGATCTGCTTATCCTTCCTTGCTCTATCACCTTATCTTCATTATCGACATTATCACTACTTTTTAAATGATTTGAAATTTTATTTGTGTAGCGTTTCTATAGTAACAGATAAAATTTCGCACACTTTCATGCAAATACTTAAAGGATAAGATCAGAGAATAATTAGGCCGAATATAACTGAATTAAAAAGGAATAAATATGGCAACAAATACTAAGAAGACATGACAGTTATTTGATAAGCTACAAGTATAATCAAGAACTGACTTCATTTTGGAAACAAGTGAAAACCATCAGGAATTACGTGATAGCTATTGATATTAGTATGAAACTCTTCAGAGGTATCAAAACGAATACCTTCAGTTTAAAAAGTGAGCTCATTTACCAGTCAGCCACTGGGACGCAATTCAATGGCCCTTCAGTTCTAACCCCTGCCATTTTGAGATATACAGAGCAACCACAAACCAGTGTCATGGGCGAGTATTTGTCCTCACGTTTAACTTGGTCAACCCTGATGGTCCTGCCTTCTCGACAGAACTCCAGGCATCTTCATTCTGTAACCAGTCACTTTTGAACACTAAACCGATTTTCAGGTGTCACTTTGCATTTGACTGATTCCAAGGTTTGTCATGAGCTGATTTCAGTTAGAGCATCACTGGAAACAGGGGGTATTGAACATCTGTCCCAATTTGGAACTCTTTATCAGTACAACCACCACACCCATGACACCACTGATATTTTTTGTCGCTGTTTGTTATTTTCGCATATCTTATAAATCTTAATTTGTGCACAGAATATAACAGTAAGTACCTGGTTTATTTCTAATTACACGAACCGACAAGAATCTCACAATTTTCTAAAAAAATTATTGACACGCACATATAAGAAGCATATTATCCATGGGAAAATTCAACAAACCGAGTATTTCAATGAAAAAGATTCTTACCTTCATTTGTTTAAAAGTCTTCGTAAGTCATTTAGAACAAGAATTATCCTAGAGGACAATAATTTGTAATGCCATTCTCTTAAGGATATACAGATATTATTACTATTCCTTTGGGTTCCATGTGAAACATGGGGCTTCAGCTACACATCTTCACTTTCTTTTATTTTCTGATATCCTCCTCAGCTGGGTGCACGATTGCCTATAATGTCTCATCTCTTCGTACAATCTCTTCCACTCGTTGCTTCCCATTCAGATTCCACTCGAGGTCCTTGCGCGATATATCTTGCCTAGTTAACTAGCCTGCTGGTTTTCTAGCCGGTCCCAACCCCAGAAAAAGAGGGAGGGTTGGGCGTGTGGCTAGCGAACCTACACCACAAAAGCTATCAAACTGCCAGAGAAACTTCAACGCACCAAAAATATATATAGATTTTAGTAGATGATTATTTTTATATAATAGTCAGTGAACGGCAAAAGACGTTATCGTAAATACAAAGTAACGTCAGAGATATGGTTAAATGGAACGTGGTTAGTTTTGATAATGATTTCTATGAATGTGAAATGCATGGCTAACAGGAATAGTAGATATAACCGCTGATTGAGGTGTTTATTTGAGAAAACTTTCTTCTAGGCCGATTTATAATTAGCTCTTAGTGAAACATATAAAACGTTAATTACTGATTATAACTCAACTATTCAAAGTCGTATTCCCCCAAATATATACTCATTAACATGTTAGGTAATTATTCTATCATGTATTCTTTCTCATTACTATTGTTGTTATTATTACTATTATAGTACTCGTCCTTGGATTCCGAGTGGGGCATAAGACTTCACCAGGATATCTTCACTTCATTCTGTTCTCTTTGATCATTTTAGGTGTCTTCACAATTTCCTATAGGCTATCATTTCCTCTTCACATAATATCCTCCATGCCGTCTTCGGACACCCGACTCGTTTCACTTAAGATTTCCACCCGAGGGCCTGATAGATGATGTCATTGGATAAACAAGATGTCATCCGATGGATAATGAATAGTAGTGGGGCCAACACGTTGACAGAGACCGAACATTTCAGTGTGATAGAATCAGTCGACGGGAAATACAAAATTAACCTTAAAGTAAAGACCACTGATAACCATTGCCTAAGAGATGCGTACCACAGTCCAAGTGGCCTAGCGAATAGCACCTCGGTGTTTGAAACGATGCGTGATGGATTCAAGTCTCAGTGGGGACGCCATTATTCACTAACGATTGAAGAGACATCCATCGTCCTGAAACGAGCGAAATGCGCATTCTGGATTCCACCAGTAGCTGTTTTCATAATTATTCTTATTTATTAGGAAAAATGAGTGAGTGATTTATTGCATTTACTACTGATAAGAATGATGCTTCTAATATTCGCTCCAAATTAAAATTTCTACTTGCATGATCTTTGAAAATTTATAAGAACAAGGTTCACGGTAATGGATGCTTGACAACAGATAAAGTGCCAATATGTTGCTTTCATCAGGAACCAACATTAGATTTAAAATTATTACTAACCAAAGAACACTAGACAGCTGCTTTGTTGCAATTTCACAATCTTCAAAAGAAAGCACTCATCAACCTCCTCAGGAATCCAGCCTTCAAGGTGCGAGGTTACCTTAATGACCATTTAGCCACTGGACCGAAATTCAATGACCTGTGGTTTCAAATTTCTGTCACTTGGCGTTATTTAGCTACATCCAACTAAGGCCGATCGTCATTACCCGTTTCACCATGACATAGTGGACGGTAATGACCATGAATTCTCTTCGGACTTCAGGACATCCATCTATTAGCCACTATTGATCTGGAGGTTGATATTCATATGAAATACCAATCCAATTCTCGGTTCTTGGTTGTCAATGACTCTTCATCTGATTTTGGGTCGCAACGAAATTTTCATAGAAACTTATCAAAATGACTAAATAACCAAAGTCCGACTATACATTTCTTTTGTTTCTAATACCAGATAACTTTATTACTCCAGGTCCCAGAATCTTTAACAACCTCTGTTGAAAAGATGAAACAAGCTTTCCAGATGTATGTAAAAATTACATCTGTATAACCTGAACGAAACTGAAATAAGTAATTCCAACGTTTCATTCTCCAAACTGGTTCGAACTTCTTCAGGGGGAATTAATCAAAATTGAAATAACAAAGGAATTCCTTATTTCAGTTTCTGTGAGACTCTACAAATATTATTTTTACATATGTCTACTTCTCTCTCACTCGGCGCCCAATTATTTTGGAACTATTCGATCAAATCTTGACCACAGTTTACATGAAAACGATATTTTTTAAAATTTCTTATTTTTTATTACTTTATTCTTTTTTGTTCCAAGTGGTACATAGGGCTTCAAGCTTCGAATTTTCAGTAGCAGTGGCCTTTTTTACGGGATACGGTCGCTAGCTTCACACCCAACGTTCTCTATTTACCGGGATTACTACCTGTTAGGTGAGGTAAAGGTATGAGTCTGATGGGAATCGAAACCTGGACCACTTGCGTGGATGACCAGTGTTCTACCACTGAGTCACTGATGCTGATATTTCAGTGCATATAAATAGACATAACGTAAACTTTTGGTTGAACCCGTCTCATTGCTTTGATCTTCATTTGGATTATTCACACTTGAAGTACAACACTGTTAAGTGGTCTGTCAGCAGGTAATAACGTCAGTGCATTAGCCTCACTTCAGATAACAAATTCAGGATTTGTTGAATATACAACCTATTCATTGGCTGACTGAAAAGCATATGAAGTTAATAAAATAGGTTTCCTTGACTCAGATACTTTTAAATTCTGGCTTAGAAGTACTTAAAATCACTTCGAAATTCTGGAGACAATGTCTTTATACTTTTAGCTGATAATTAATAACGCAAATCAGCTTGTTAAACTTAACAATATTTATACCTGCAATTGATGACAGTTTAATTCATCATTAGGAATGTTTTGATGGTAATTATGAGCAAGTATACAAAAAGGGTGCTTGGATCATTAAATGGTAGTGTGCATGCTACCCAATTATCTGTTCTAGGCACTCCAACGCCTCAGGTCTGGAAGAGAGGACCATTTACACGTCACCACCGTTACTGAAAATTGAATGCTGATGCTTGAAGCCCTATGTTCAAGACTAAAAAAGTTAGAATAGATATTTCCAATTGTTGAATGAAGGAAAGGCTCGAAAGAAAGAAATGCTAACGAAATTTAAAAACATGATCAATCCTGTCAACAATATGGCCATAAAAACTGACTTGTTTTTTGGACAGATGAATTCCGTAAGTTGTATTTTTGACTGTAGTATAACCGAGTTTTATTCTTAACTGTTCTCAGCTGTGCATTTGTCATTTTTTATATATTTGTTGACTTTCATTAAATAACCGGAAAA